CCTGGTGGTGCATGCTCTGTCCATTGTTTCTGTTGACCACAGAGGTGGTATAGAAGAGAAGCAGGAGTAGGGCTTCTGCTGTTTGCCCCGCATCTCAGTGTTAGCACTGTGTGCTAGCTCGGTGGACAGATTTCAGCAGGGCCGAGAGATCAGAGGAGAGGGATGACAGCCTAGACCACCGGGTAACTGTGTTCTTGATGGCACTGTCTCCAAGCTGACTGGGGATATGAGTGGCCTGGCAGTGAGGATTGTCATCACACACTGATGATCTATTTAAGGCTGCCCGAGCTCTGCCTTTGCTTGTTCTTACATCTTAAACTTAACCATTTTCCCTTTGACCACCACAGGTCTCTTTAAGGCCTTTTCTTCATGTTCCCTGGCACTGCCTCCTTTTCCCTTCATACTGAGCTCATTCTACAGATGCCCCTCTCCCCCCCAAAAAAGTAACAGATTATTATTATTTTGGGTAAGGGGCCCTCATATACACCTGTGTATGTGTGTTTTCATGGAGAGGGAGTAAAGGTTTGTGTCAGGTAACTTTCTCTATCATCTGCCCCCCCCCCCATCTTATTTTTTAAGCTAGGGTCTCTCACTGAGCCTGAAGCTCACTGACTCGGTCAGCTGGCTAGCAAGCCCCAGAGCCTCCTGCCTCTGTCTCCTCAGCAGTGGGGTAACATGTCAGCTGCTGCATCCAGCTTTTATATGGGTGCTGGGGATCAAATTAACCAAGGCCCTAATGCTTGCAAGGTAAGGGCTTTACTGACTGCGCCATCTCCATGGTTGGTTCATTTATTATTTTTTTACTCTTCAAAGAACTTGTTAATCCATGGTTAAAGGTAAACTTGTTTATTGAAATGTATACAGATCATGAGGGAAAAAAAAAAAACTGATATGGACCAAGTGTTGTTTTTGAACTATGCACTCAAAAGATGAAATCACAGAGCGGTAAAATGGATCAGAGGGTAAAGAAAGGCATGGTGACCCGAGTTCCAGGCCCAGAGCCTAATGGCAGAAGGAGAGTTGCTCTTTGACCTCCGTAGGTGTGCCATGGCACGCACACACACACAAATAAATAACTGCAAAGATATGTTACAAATAAGAGTGGAAAAGAATTGTTCTTGCACTTAGTCACAATCTGATGATTGAAAAAAAACATTTTTCAGCTTCATATACTTCCCCACTTCCTTTTTTTTTTTTTTTTTTTTATGCTAGAAAGCATCGAGAAAGCTTTACAAATTGTCACAAATAAGTTATTCTTTAGTGAGAGGAAGGAGATCCCAGGTCAGATGGTTGCTGTGAGAAAGAGGACAAACCCCGGGTCAGGAGTGAGCAGCCTTGTTTTGTGGGCACTCCATGTCACTGACGTGAAAAACAGACCCATGATGAGTAGTCAGGGCTGCAGTTCGAAACAGCTGCTTCCTCAGCCTCAGCCTCTCTGGCCTAGAAACCAAGCATTTCACCTTAGGGTGTGAAGAGACCTTGATGTTGAAGGCCTAACTGAACTTTGATAGCAGGTTTGCCTGGTATTTCATAAAAGTGTGTTCTCAGCTGATACAGTTACCAAGGGGCAAAATACCCCAAGTTCAAAAACAAGGCGTGTGTGTCCAGGAAGTCGACTTGATGGCGCATTCCCTGCTGTATTTTCTGGTTGCCTGATGGTGCGTGGAGGTCAGACATAGACGGCCTGACAATGGCCCCCGATTGTGGTGGAGTAAGGCTAGCATAATGGCGACTAAAGTTTGATGGTAAAAACTCTGCCTGTGCCTTGTATAGTCACCCCGCCCCTGTAATTCTCACAGGCGACGAACAGTCTCTGAATAGTCTCTGAATAATTGTATAGGTTCCCAAAGCCACAGTGAGAGGAGTTTGAACCCAGGAGTGGTCCTCCTGAACACTGAGGTAGTCATTGTACATGGAATGCGCTCTTTTGCCCTATAGACCACGGCACTCTGAGTAGATATATGCTCCTTATGAAACATAGTAGTTTTGTTTTTTAATATGGGAATGCAAATAAATGCCTTAGTTTCCAAGGACAGGATTCACTTATGATAACCAGTGCAGCTCCCAAGAACTGCTCTGCTGTGAGACAGAGCAGGCTCCTTCTCTCCTGCTGAATTCATTCTCTATGCCTGTCCCTAGCAGAAGTGTCTGTTACTTCCTGGGCTTTGGGAAAAACTAAAGGAGCCTCTCAGGAAGAGGACCTTCCTCGGGCCTACAGTATAGAGCTCCCGTGGATGTGGAGAGGGCTGCTTGTGCGCAGAGATGTACCTGTTTTTCTGGGTGAGATTCAAGGGGCTAGTTGCTGCTCTGCCTGTGTTCTCTTACGCCTGGACTCTTCCTAAGATGCATCTCTGCCTGTTTCCCCAAGGCTAGGCCCAGCACCCAGGGAGAGGCTCACTGGCTGCCTGGGAAGCCCAACAGACTATGCCAGCAGCACTTTCTCAAGCCACCAACGTTGGTCCCCAGAAGTGTGGCTCCCTCTATCTGTCTTCTTTGTAGGGCTGGGTTGAGATTAGACCCACAAGGATGACACCAACTGATGGAACTCTTGATCAGTTCCTCTTCAGCTTATAGAACTGTAGCTCTTTGGGGTGGTCTAACCCCAAAGAGCTGAGGCTGACCTTGAAGAAAGAAGTCTGCCAGTAATGGAGGCTTTTATATGGTTTTCAGACTCACTTAGGTGTGAGTTGGAACAACTGATCCATTCTAGGGCCTCTCGAGGTCAGCGGAGTGGAGGAATTTTGTGTTCAGGGTGGGTGGGGAGATGACACAGTTTTCGGCGGGTTCTTTGAACATAGAGGCAGCGGTGGGAATCTTGGCTCCATGAGAAGGCAGTAGACTATTCTGCATCCCCCACACTTCCTTGACCTCGGAATGCCTATCTCAGATGCTCTGGGACTGATAACTTCGTAGAAGTGCACCGGTGGGAGAGAGCTCAGGCACTGGGCCTTCCCTGCAACATGCAGGCCCACCACTTCCTGTTCTGTGAACCAACTGGCGTCACTTGCTATGGCCTCTGTCTCCTTCTCTGTGAAATATAAATAATATTCATTGCTGTATATAATGCTTGCCCGAGGTCACTACTATTTAAGAGGCTCCCTCTATTCATAACACAGGTCCTCCCACACGTGTGCGGTATGCCTCCGTAAAGGCTGGGTCCTTAGGAAACGACTGAACCAGGAAACAGTATAGAGATCTTGACTCTGGGGGAATACGCAGCGGAGTTTCCAGCTTAAATTATCTGTCTAGTCAGTGTGGCCACAGACTCATTGCTAAAACTGAAATGTTGACTTTAACAAAAGGTGACAGGGAAAAAGAGCGGTAGCCAGAACGATTCCGGTACCCTTATAGTTTGCTCAGGGTGGTGTAGAAAATGTCAAGCTGTGAGTACTGTGTGACAGCAGACATCAAACACTTATAATCCCGGTGTCCCTGATGTATGCTGTAACAGACTGAAGATGGTGGATCATGCCTGTCTAGGAAGAAAATCAGGAGAAAGCCATACAAGAACTGAGCTCACATGAAAATGGCAAGGATTCCTTTATTCAAAGCAGTAAAACAGCATGCTTTGGGTGAAAAGGCTGCCCCTGTTTTCTGCTAGTTCACGGGCAAACAGTAAAACAAAAAACAACCTGTTATGGAATCCCTAAGAATGAAAAAGTTAGGTCAGGATTCTCAGATTGGAAAGCATGTCTTCAGGGCTGTCCCAGCCTTGACTATTCCAGTGTGCTCTCTCTCTCTCTCTCTCTCTCTCTCTCTCTCTCTCTCTCTCTCTCTCT